TAGTGAATAAGATTGGTACAGTTTAGCTGTTTTCCCTTTTTAATGCATTTTTTTTTTTTTTTTTTTTTTTTTAAGAATTATATACATAAAAAACATTACACATAAATTTGAGATATATCATTTTTTTACTCTGGTAAATATGGGAAGCTAACTTTTAACTGGCATGAAAATAAAGATTTTTCTCATATAATGTTAAATTTGGCCTTAAATTTAAAGTAAATTGAAAACTCATAGAAAATTTTCTTATTTAACAAATTCATCACTGCAAAGTAAATCAAATTGGTAATTGATATTTTTGTTTCTAGTAAACTGGTTCAAGTTGCAATAAATCATTTAAATGCTTTGTATTATATGTGTGTGTTTAATGTTTTTGCAATAAGTTTTCATTATTTTATTTATTTTATTTTATTTATTTTATTTTTTATTTTTTCAAGTTCCATAGCTAAATCTTTTTTATATAATTTAATCTCTTAAATAATTATGATTTATCATTCTTATAAATGCATTTTATTTTGAGAATCATTCAATTTTTATAAATAAGTAAATGTTAATATAAAATATCAAACTTTAACTAAGCAATACTTAATGAAGAGTTCTTTGCAAATTTTTATTCTTGCATATATATGTACTTTTCCAAAGTTCAATGATTCCATATTACCAAAGCATTATTTATAAAGGTGGTAGGAATCCATCCTAAGTTAGTAACTAACATGAGTCTAGTGTTTGATTGATTTCTAACATAAAGAATTACTAAATTCTGATGATAGCAAAAAGTCTTCTACACTGTAAGAATTATATCATCTTGAATTTTGCATTCAAAAATCCAGTTTATGGTTATTTTAGAAAGTCCTTATATATATATATATATATATATATATATATATATATATACACACACTATCATTTATTTTTTATAAAAATATTAAAATGAAAAGGTCTTAATATAACTTGCTTAAATGCTTTTTTCAGCATCCCCCACTCAATGCCAAGTCACTTTCTATTGATGGAATTTATAATTAGTTGCAAATACCAATTATCAATATTAATAATAATAATAGTATCATCACTAGTATACCACTATGCTGATGGGAATGAGTGCAGTAAAGTAAAACCAAATTGCTCTGTAATAAACTCAGAGCTATCTACCTTTGACAAACATTTTTTAAATAAAATGATTATAAAACTAGTGACCTAATGGCCTGAATATTGTTTTATTCTCTAATTTAGAACATTTAAACACTTTTGTGCTAAGAAAAATTGTCTTTATTTCTTTTATAGTAACAAATGTACAAAAATCAAATAATATTAATGGAATGTTAACTGAAGTTTGCTAAAGAGAAAATTCAGTCAACACTGAAAATGTAAATTTATTATATACTGGGGGACACTGAAAACTTTGCAACAACTGGCCAAATGATTAAACATCTTTTTTATTTTTCTAATCTCTTGGTTGGGCTGAAAACATTTTAGTATGTCATCTATATTATTTTATGAAAATGTTAAAATTTTCTCATTTGGTATTTTGTCATGTATATTTCACTTGTAAATATATTAAGACATTTTCAATACTAATGGAAAAAGTTCTTCAATAGCCTAAGTAATTTTATGTTTAATAAAAATCTAATCTAATTAGATTTTTTCTGGTACTTTAATAGTACCAAAATATCATTTTCAGAAAAACTGATTTCATATACTCAAATCTTTGAATAATGCTTCTTTTTTAATAACAACAATTATAAGTCTTCAGAAATGTTGTTAAATTAACCATTTTTATTGAGATATATAGTCTAGTAAGTTTATTGATCTATGATAATTGGTTTTAAAAATTAAAGAATTAAAAATCACTAAACATTTATAGAATGTTTTCCTTCTCTTTTTGTATGTTAGGGCAACAATACTTTGAATATTGATATTTAACTATTACTAATGTAAAAATAATTCCCAATTGTTAGTTTAGTCTAAAGATTGATTTCAATGACTTGGTTGCTATTAACAAGGTTTCCAATATTTTGTTTCTTTGATGCATATAGTGTAAGGTAAAACTGATGGATAATTAATTTTAAATTGAAACTGAAACCTTCAATGAATGTAATAAAACCTTTTAGTTTGCCTATTAAATATCTGTTAGATATGAATAAGAAGTAATATAATTCGCCAACTCTTAGTCAAGGTAATTTACTTTGCTTCTTATTCGCAAATTCCTTTACTTCTAAAGGAACGAATGAAATGAGCATGTTATAAATAATATTAATTTTATTAACACATTTTGAAAATTGTGAACACATACAAGCAGTTTCTGTTCCTTCAATGCAAGGGCGATAACTTAATATCTCAAACTTTAGATAAAATTTTGAAGTTATATCCCCTGATTCGTGCAATGTCCTGTGTTGATTTTTTTTTTTTTTTTTAATTCATCTTATTTTGAATCTCCACTGTTTTTCAATTTACATTGTAATATTAAATTTAATGTCAATTTTCCTATTCCATTTAGTATTGCTCAATATTTAAAAAAATCAAATCTCTTTAAGTGGCAGTCTTGTAAGAATTATTGATTAAAATATGAGAATATGATAATGGAAGGAATGTCACATGGTTAGTGTAAAGAATTTTAAAGGAAAATAAGTTTTATCTTCAAGGTATGTATTTATTCATTTAAAAATTAATATTTTTCAAAGATATGCATAATGGATTTACATAAAATATTTAAAATGTAAATTTATTGGCTTTAAATTACTGAATTTCTCACTTTATTGTTGCTTTTATGAAAGCAAGCCACTTATAAAATAGTGAAAATACTTAATATGAATTTTTTTTTCTAGTTTTCTCTTTTTTGTATAAATGACAAATTATAAGATAATTCATTGCTTTTTTTTAAATCATGATATATGGATTCTGGAGGAGTTTAAATTGATAATTGCACTTATAATTTGTGACATCTCCATAAGTGAGTGTTTACATTGACATTGGAAGCATCGAAGTTAATTTGTACCTACTGTCAATTTTGGGTAATACATAGTGTGGCAAAATCGAGGAAAATAACTACTATATAGAGGTTGTTGCCCTTATATTTTTCTAATTATCATGAACTCATTTATAGCACTTAGCACAATTTCTATTTTTATTTTATTCATTTCTTTTATTTGTAATTATCCTCTACATCATTTTGATTTAAAGTAAAACTCTATTATTAGGAAAAAAAATATTAGAAAGGTTAGTTAAGTACTTTACATAACTTTAAAATTGAATTAGTGATTTTTATTATTGTTGTATTTTTTGTTTTTCAAAACATTTCTTGTATTGCTTTTCTTGAAAGTGGTTTATATAAATTTTTTTTAAGAAACTTTTCACCCTTTTTCTAGAAGCATAAATTGCAATACACAATATTGTATAGAACAATTTTCATGTTTTATGTAATCTCTTTCACTGATATATTAGACGTCTTAGCAAATATGCAAAGAACATTCAAGTGTCTGAATGATGTTAATGACTTTTTCAAAGTTATAGGCAATGATATTATTTTGCTGCACAAAAGATTCATTTAAAACATAAATACCTATTGCTAGTTTCTTAAAACTCCCTGAAAGATTTTTAGTAATCCATTTCTGTGTGTAAATCAAAAAAAAAGAAATCAGTATTTTTTAGATCTTAAAACAACCAATAGTAGAAAAGTCTTTTCTTATTGTTGATACATTTGGCAAAATAATTTACATGAAAATTGGTGAATTATAAACAATTATCTTCAGAAAATATTTCATGAAGATTCATTTAAATTAGAATAATCCAGTTTATCTTTCAAATGAATTTTATTGGTGGAAATAATTTTAGTAATAAAAAAATTTTAGTAATAAAAATTTAAGCAAATTGCAGTTTCTGCTACTGTCACTTCGACAGTAGCAGAAACTGCAATTTGCTTTAAATTTTTTTATTACTAAAATTTTTGTAAAAGTAATATTTATGTAATAGTGGATTTAAAAATACTTTGTGTGGGTAGTTTAGATATCTTGTTAGAGGTAATTTTGTTTATTTTATTTTATTTTTTAAGCAGTGTTTAGTTAGATTTTTCATTTGAAAGGCATTTAGATATATAATTAATTTTAGAATTTTAAATAATTGTTCACATATTTCATTTAATATTCAAACATACATTATAGCTCTTAATCAATAACATAACTTTTAGTGTTTAAGTTTTTAAGATATCAATTATTAGCTATTGTTAGGAATAATTCATGAGTCTTTAATGAATCATTTTCAATAGATTTGCTATAGGTTTCTATAATTTTAGTACTAGTAAGCAGGAAAAATTTTCCTCATTTTAAGTAAATCAAGCCAATTTATATATATGTAAATGTTATTAAATTCGTTTGATTTTTTTTTTTTTTTTTAAATTTTTATAAATTTTTCCCCTGTAAAGTTTTTTTTTTCTAAGGGAAATAACTCAGTAATATAAAACTAGATAAACCATTTAGCAAATGGCATGAACACATTATACACACTCTCCAACATTTTAACTAGTTCATTGTAAATAAGATTATTTAATTTAGGAAGACAAGGGACAGACTAAGTAAATGTTTAAAGAGGGACGAAATAACAAAAATAGAAATTAATATTCTAATAAATCATCCAAAACAACTAATCTTTAAAATTTTAGATAAATATTTTAATAATTGAGTTTTAAACTTGTTTTTTTTTTTTTTTAACATTCATTCTTTTCTGAAGGTATTTTCATCTCTTCTTTAATAAATTCTTAATTACAGGTATGTTAATCAGATATTTTACAATAATGATCTATTTTTCTTTTTAAAACTATTTTTAAAATAAAAATAAATCTCCCAAACCATAATGGTTATTTGTAAATAGTAAGATCAACTTTTATTTATTGACCTAAAATAATTTAAATTCTATATTTTCTAGATTCCCTATTTTTCGAAGCTTTCCGCCACCCAAACTAAATCGGAATGAGTTCCTTAGAAGAACGTCGTGAAGCCCGCCGAAGGAGGCGTATGATGGAGCAGGAGGAATCTGAGTAAGTTTCCAGCTGACCAATCATTTTCACTTTCTTATTCTTTTTAATGATGAGTTGATCCTTCTTTTACTTCAATTATTTTATGGTTTTATATTGTTTAAAACTTTGTAAAACCAAAAGAATTTTTTTTTTTTTTTTTTTTTTTCAGGTAAATAGATTTTGCATAAATATTTGTAAATAAATCTAAAGTTAGTCACATTTATTTTGTAGTCAACTATATTTGTTTTGTGACTAGCATATGTACAAACTCTACATGACATTTGTACAGATATAAATTTACATTTTCTTCTATAATCATTTCAGCAAATGTGAAACCATATATTTTCCAGTAATGTATTGCTATAAAAAAATATTGAACAAAAAAAAAAAAAATCACTGCAAAAATTATTACTCACCCGCTGAAAATTTTTAGGGACAGTATTTCTAATCCTGCAGTATTTTTCTTTCTGATTTTTGTTAATGTTCTTTATTTCCATTTGGATGCAAGATTCTGTTTATTTTTTCAGTTTTTGTTCCCTTTTTAACACCATTCGAAGTAACTCTTTATCTTACTGGGACAGTGTATTTTTCATTAAAATGTCTATAGCCTTATATTGACTTTCATATTATATGATCATGTGTTGTTGTTTTAAAAAAAAATTTTGTAATTTTTCTATTGTTTTGTAGTTACAGTGAAGTGCAGTTTCCCCTTGTAATGTGAAAATTTGGATAATATCCAATGTCCCTGTAGCTCTTAATTTTTGTCTATTGGCTATTTTCCTCTTGTATCCATTTGTAAGATCTCTATTGCTTTATCACTTAGATCTATTAAACTGCTGCTGTGCAGTAACTGGCTCTGAGTTGTACTTTGAGTTGTTGTTTTCCTTCATCATCCTGAATATCTATTTTTGCTCTTATACTTAGTAAGTATCATTTTCCTCAACTCTGCAACAATACACCTTTTTCTAGAAGCAGTTTCCTGAATTATACTACTAGGGTTGCTCACAGTGCAATTTATATGAAAGAAAAAATTTAATCCATTATTGGATAATTTTCTAAATGATTTTTACAAAAAAGTATGGCTGATAAGAATTAAAAAATATATTTATTCTAAACCTACTCTTTAATTTTTTTTTTTTTTTTTTTTTTTTTTTTAAACACTTTCACAAGTTTTAAGAATTTTTTTTAATTCTAGGGCTAAAGAAGTTCTTTCTCTTCAAGCTGATTATTTATCTTCAAATGTCTTTGACTAAAAAAGAAAAAAAAATTGGATACAAAAACTTACATACATGTTAAGCAAACATTGGCTGGTTTTCTTCTAAATGGTAGTTTAATATTATTTCCATTTTAACATTTATACTGTAAGATTGATATTGTAAATCCTAACCACAAATGTTATGTAAAATAAAAATATATGAAAATAAAAATTTATTTAAGTTGGAAATTTTTAACATTACAGATAAGTTTAACATTGACCATGTTTTGTATTATTCAAATTGATGGAATATTTTAAAACAACATTTTACTCTGGAATAGTTATGAATTATGAAGACTCTAGTACTTTATTACAAAACTTCTGCTCTAACATTGACTATTTGCTATACAAAACATATCTATTCTGGTTAGCTTCATATTTTGCAGACCTGTATATTTAACTGGTTTCTGACTCCAAATTCAGTCAGTCTGCTTGGCAACTATCTATTTTGAGAGACTACTACTCTGGAACCTATACTCCCTTCATATCTTGGCATAGTGTTATTCTTATAAAGATGTTGATGATAGTAGCAGTATCATTGTGTATTGAGTAAACTGAAACTGCTTCAGCTGGCCATCTGCTACCTACTGTAGCAATAGGCCTGCATATCTTACCCAAATAGGCAAACAGGGAAGCCAGATTCCATCTCCCCCAAATGTGTATTATCTATTTAGCATTAGCAATTAGATACCAAGGACTGGTTGAGATATTGAAAACTGGTTATTACTTTGATTACTTTTATTCTTAGACATGATTACCTGAAGAAAAATATATATATTAAAATGTAGGGATGTTTTGTATTTAAATTCTTTATCTTTTTTTCTTTTCTTTTTTTTTTTTTTTTTTGACAATCATCTCAGATGTCATACTTTGGAGGTTCTAGGAAAACAATTTCTTAGTCATTTTATTTTTATTTATTTATCAATAAGATTATGAAAGTTTAAATAGTTACTTTCTCTGCGTGCATCTACTTTGCTTAATTTTAGCTTGCATGTTTAATTCTTTACAAATTTTGCTATACAGAATTGTATGACAGTCACTTCAATTTGCTGAGATTTTTTTTTCATTTATTCATCAAGTGTTGCATGTTTTTATATTAAATTATACTTCAAAACATTAAATTTTAAAAATAAATTTTATATTTTATTTTTGTTGGGTTATATCCTGCAAAAACGTTTTTCTCAAATCTCAGATTTATATAATACCTTTTTGTATATTAAAAGCATGTCTCCTTAAGTTAAATTTGCTCAATCATGAAATACACCTTGAGATTTTTAAAATTTTAGCTAACTTTGTGACTAATTTTAATTCTAAATAACTATTCTTAGCATGTATATTTTTCTGCTAAATTTTTCTTTTGTGTATTGGTTTTGAAGTCTTTCACTAATATCTATTATAATTCATCTTTCTGTGCAACACTCTGCTTTACATTTTGATAAAGATGTACCTTAATTAATAGATAACTTTTCATTTTTGATATTGAAACATTCAGCCTATAAGATTTATCTGATGTTATGAGTTAATAAAAGGGGTGATGCTTTGTTTACCCATTACTTCATGACCTTCATTTAACATTGACTATTTGTACAGTTAATTCTTGACAAGCATATAAATATTTAACTGCTAAAAAGAGAAAACATGGTTCATAAATTTGTAAACTTGATAAAATTGTTTTACATAGCAATCCTGAACATATAAATAAATATACTTTTGATTGTAATTTTATGTTATCAATATAAAGATCTTAAGCCATTTTATCTAATTACATCATTAGAATTTTTATGTATGTCTGACAATTAAAAATGTAAAAGCTTTGTATATCTCTCTTGTGTGACCATATGAGAAAATAAAAAAAACCTTTTGTCTGTTGTTTTTTGTTTTGGTATTTTTTATTCTGCTTCCAGTTTTTTCTTTCATAACATTGAATAAACATCTGCCCTCTCTTGTGATGAAACACTTTCTTCCATAATCATCAGCTTCCCTATAGAAATCTTATTTGAACTGTTTGACTTAATAAAATAATTGGCTAATATTTTTAATAATTATCTTCTCAAATTAAGGAACTATAAGAAAAAATGTTAAAATTATGATCAGTATTTTTTCTTTACAATATTCAGATCAATTAAAGGTTATCACATAAAGGAATACTGTTTTCATCCTTTTTGTAGTTTTTATATGCATGTATTTTTGTTTCTAATTGAATGTTATTTTGCATGATCAGAACAGATGAGAGTGAAGCAATTTCCACACACAACCTTGACAAAGGAATGATGCATGCACGCAGAGAAAAAGAAAACCGATTAAGCAGGCTGTATGTTGAAAGTAATATTTTCGTACAACTCTTTTATCTCTAGAATGTCAAAGATCTTTTACATAGTCATCTTTTTAAAAAACAATTGGTTGACAATTTCTAAAATGTTTCTATCTATCTTTTTACTTAAACCAAATTTTCAGTTACATTTTTTGTATAGATGCTAGAATAATTTGATAAAGATGTACCTTAATTAACATAACCTTTTATTTTTGATATCAAAACACTTTCAGCCTATAAGATTTTGTATAGATGCTAGAGTAATAGTTCTCTCAACCATTTTGGGGTTAAGAATTTGTTTAATGTCTTCCTAGTTTGGGACTAAATAAACTACAAAAGCTAAATTTCACTATATGGTGCTTGGCCACCTTGGTAAATATGGTTTATAAACCCTTCTGTTTATTGGAAAAAGAATCTTATATAAAAATAACTTATTTTTTAAAACTAAAATAATACCAAAGCCATCAGAAAGTAATTGGAAGTTGCAATTTCTTAACATAGATATATTTTAATATATTTCTGAAAAGAAATGAGTGCAACTAGATAAAACTATTTACAACCCACCAGCATTTAAATACCTAACAACAATGTAATCTGCTTTTTTTAACAATTTCAAAGTGCTTTAAGCTTTTTATGTACCTTCTATTATGCTAATTTCTGCTGTTAAAATCATAATAATCTATCGAAATATGTCTCCTTTTAGAATAAGTGAAATGTGCATAAGATGAGATAGCTCTCCAGAACATAATAGCGTAAATGAAGTCAAATTTGTTTCAAAGGCTTAAAACTAGAGTATCAAAAAATGAATCTATCAAAATATTTTGTTTCACTCTGTTATTGGCTAACTCATTTGAAGGAATCATTTGAAACATTCACAACTCATCCTGAGCTATCATCATTGGTTTTCTGAAAAATGTCAATTTTTTTTTTTTTTTTTTTTTTTTTTGTATAATTTAAGTTGAACAACTTTTGCAAAAAAAAAAAATAAATAAATAAAAGTAGAAATACTATTTGGGACTTCTCTTTTTTTTCTTTTTGAAAAATTAAATTTTTTATTTTAATTTTTTTATTTGCTGATGCCTTTAAGAAATAAATTTTCTTTCAGACTTTAATAAAATTGAATTGTAATGATTTGCATTACTAGTTATTTTTGTATATAGAATTTTCAGTTGTTTTCCACTAAATGTGTGATAAAAATTTACTGCATGAATTATTGATTCTCTAAAACTTTTTTGGGGGGAGTGCTCCCCCCCCAACCCTCTTTTTGTTATCCATTTCATTGATTTATATATTTTTAAAATGCATGATTTGTTTTTAAAGCTCATTCCATTTGATAATCTAATACAGCGTTTACCATCTTTTTTTTCTTTCTTTTTTTTTTAATTTTTTTTTTTTTTTTTACTAGAATATTGACAAATACCTTTTTGTTCTTTTAGAAAACATGTAAATTTTTTTTATGAAAGAATACTTGACTTTTTGTATCTAGCATGAACTCCGAACTGCAAGTTATCTAAATACCATGAATATCTAAAAAATGAGCACTTCTGAAAGAATTGAGGAAAATAAAAAATAAAATACAATTTAAAATGAAACTCTTTAAATTAGATAATCTTAAGTTCTAAATAATTTTTAAGAAGCATTTTGTACTTTTTTAAAATCACAAAAGTCCCCACTACTTTCAAACTGATAAGTTTTGGAATTGTTTTTTTTTTTTTCATAAGCTTAATTGAAATTTTTGTTTGCTCTGAGATTTGACCTTGGAAGAAGATGCTTGTATTTTTTCCATGTGATCTCTGACGTCCAAACAGACTTGATGGAAGAATTTACTTTGTAAACTATCTGTAACATTTGCCAGTGATAATTTCATGTAAATATTTAAGTCAGTGCTTAGTAATTTCTTTTGAATTTCGGTGTTTTTTTTATTTATTTATTTATTTATCTAACTATGCTATCTCATAGAATAAACTTAATAAGTCTTTTTTTGAATAAAGTGTAACTGAATATTTTTTCTTCTTTGACTATAGCTTAGTTCCTAAATCAATTTTTATTTATAGTCCCAAATTACTCAATTGAGTTAGCTGAATTTCCTTAGCAATAATGGTTTTATCATAAATGATAATTTAAATCATTTAAAATTCTGCATTACTTACTTCCGGTAAGATGATATTGTAATTAAGTGGAAACTATATTTACGAATCAAAGATTGAAAAGTTCAATATAGGTCATTTTGCACCAAGATTTTTAAAAGAATTTTTGACTTTTTATATATATATGTAATGTGCACCTGTTTGAAAGTGTGGTCAACCATACATAACATAATCAGAAAATAAGAGCAATATCTATAGCAAATTTAAATTCAAATTCAACATTCCTAAAATTAGATTATGGAGAATATTTGCCAACATTTTTTAAGATTACTGAGTTCTTAAGAATTATATAAAAGAGCATTCACTTGTCATTTTCTTAAATTATTGTCAAGTGATTTACAAGTTATTGACAAGCACTTAATTGCACTACTGTTTGTTTTAAAAATCCATTTCTCTGTTATTTTAAGCTTAAAGTAAATTTTTTTTTTTCAAATTAGATTTATTATACTTTAAAACAGCTAATATTCCTCAAATAAAGTTTCAGAAAAGTATATTTTATTTTTGGAAGATTTTTAAAACTGAGAATTAACTTTTGTTTACAAATCTGTCAAAAATGGCTGAATTTAAACAATTTCTGAAAGCAAGCAAAAAAGTTGAGATTCTAATCAATATAACTTTTACTTGAAATATACCAGAGTATTTTGCTTACTGGAAATAATAAATTTAATCATTTAGTTTTCAATTAAAGCTAAAATTGAAGATTCAAGAATGCTTTTTCATTTTAAAAAATTAATTTTAAACCTTAGGTATCGCATTTTTTGTAGAGGTCCCCATAATAGAACATTTTTATTTCAATTGGTTCTTCTAATCTTACATACCAGCAGTATATAAATATATAAGTATACACACCACACTTTGAAAACTGAGAATTTTTTGGATTGAGCTAAAATATATTGAATTTTGTTGTGCATGGTTGTGAATTTTTCAAATGTTTTCTTCTTAATAGGTCATAGATTTCTCTTATTTGTTACCCATGCATCAATACTCTACCTTATATTTTCCAGGAATTGTGTTGTTGTTTTTGTTCCTGAACTCCCTCTTATGTCTACTTAACTTGTGTGTTTCCTCACTAATGCAGCGCAGCCGAAGTAAACAGTTTTAATGAAGAAGATGATTATGAGCGCAAGCGGCGAGAACGAAGGGAGGCTCGTGAAGCCAGGTTAAGGCAAGAAAAGCCTACAGTTTTATATGTATACATGACCAATACTTGTAATTTATAAGAAAGCAAGAACAAATTTTAACATCTAAAAGTAACTTTCTCGTCCAATAATTGCATTAAAAAATTGTAACATGCTATACACCTTGTATGCTTCAGGATTTTTATTACCAATATGCACTCACAAAATAAAGCATCTTGAGCATAAACTTTTAAAACTTGCTAATGTCAACCTAGAAACAGCATAATTCTTGTATCAAATTGCATTAAACCATATTTCTTGAATAAAAATCCAAGTATAAAACACATTTTACTAAATCAACGTAAATGACTTTTCCTGGGTTTGAAAATTATTATTGGATTAGTTTACAATATGCAGAGAAAAAACAATTCACATTCTCAACAGAATTTCAGAAAAAATTATACATGTAAAAATAAATGTTGGTTTTGAACTTCTGGCTCACAAACGGGTAATAAATACTCACTTTAAAATGGATTTAAACATTGAATTTTTTATTTGAAGCACCAAAATTTATCTATTTTGAATTGTCTTCCAGTAAATGTCTCTCTGATGAAGCTGCATTATAGACACTTAATCAGAATTACTATATTTAATAACTTGTATTTATTAATTTATTTTGTCTTTTAAAATTGTAAAGTAATTTGTGTTTAATTATAATTTAACAAGTTTTAGCTCATTTATTGATGTTTGGAGGAAAGTGCTTAAAATAAAAAATTTTCAACGTTTGTCTCCAGTGCTGTTTTTAGTAGAATCATTTTGAACTGAGTTTCTATCTTTTCTAAATTATTTAAGTGGCAAAGAATTTATTTTCTTCCTATGAATCATCTGCTTGTTTGATTTGTTGAAATTTGCTTGCATGCTTTGCACTTTTGCCTTGCCAAAATCATCACTTGCACTCTTTAAACATTTTTGCTCCAGTTTCAGAGACTTGAACATTTTATTTAAATATATATTGCCTTGTTGTTATTTTCAATTCCTCTTGAGTATTAGCTAGCTCTTTCTCAAAGTATTTTGACTGATTTTTAATCACTTACTTTCTTATAGTATTTTGAAAAGTAATTATTCTAAGATATTTAGAATAAATTAAATATTGTACATTATAGTAACCTTCCATATTTAATGAATTTTTTCCTTTTTAGTTTGTTATCATTTCATTTCTAAAAAGTAGCCAAACAATGTATTTAAAGAAAAAATTATATCTGCATTGTTTGTTACTCTGAAAAGTGAAAATTTTTCTTTTTATTACTTTCATTACATTTGCATGTAATTTAGTTTTGTTCATTTGAAATTAAGTGCATTCATGATACACAAAAAATTTTTCCAATTATTTCATTGTCTATGAACATTGCTTTCAGTATCAGCATTTTCTTGGACTTTACACTTGCTAGCAGTTGTCAAAGCACTTGAGCACTACATCAGTTCATGGCAAGAAAAAAAAATGGCATTATATGCATGTTCTTCATGATTACTTATATGTCAGTTTTCACTTGGCTTTATTGTCAATATTTTAAAAATGTTTAAACACATAATAGATACATTAATAGTTGGAAATGCTATCAATAAAAAAAACAAAAACTTCTCTACTAATAATAACTATCTTACAATGCTAATCTAAATTCACTTATTTTCTTGTAATTTGAACAAAAATTCTCTTTTGAAATTTAAAAAGGAACCAATATCTGCATATGCAGGTTTTCCTCAGTTTTCATTTTGACAAATATTGACATTTGTACTTTTGACATAAAGCATGTAAACTCTACTGCCATGCTTAGCTTAGTAACTGTTAAATTATGATTAATTAGAATGCTAATTTATGCTGATAAATTTGTGTAATAAAATGTATATAAGAGCATCCAAAATATAACTGATAGATGAAAACCTTAAATTTTGACAAATGCATTTACTAGTAAATAAAACATGGTATAAATAACAAGTACACCGTAAATAACAAAAATGATATTTAACCACTGGTGCAATTCCTTCAAAAACCTGTGTCTGTTTTGTTCTCCAGTACAAAACAAATGAAAGTATTTGCAGAAATAACCCACTATTGTGTTGTGTCTTTTTTCAAATTCCATTTTGGAATTAATTATATTGTGTTATAAAAGCTTTTTATGCAAAAAGTCGTCTGTCATTGTTCTTTATGTAATCTTTCATTATGCACAGTTACTAATTTCACATTGTTGCCTACAAAAATTCTGTATAAAGCTTTTCTTGATGCTTCAGCTGGCAAAATTATTGTGGAACTTATTTGGTTGTGTAAAGAAAAGAGAAAAAAATTAGCCAATAAGACTATTCATGAAGAGTAATTAGAATTTCTGTTTAAACTAGAAAAATATGTCCTGTTATTTTGTATGTTAGATTAAAAGCCAAATTTCTATAATGTAACAAATATTTTGAAATTACCTTCATGTTCAAGTAAAAACTTAATTGTGCATTTGTTTTTGGTATTTTCTTATAAGCTTTCACTTAATTTTTACTTAATATTCAAATAAAGTGTTCATATATTTATATATTATTCACCATAATGTTTTTCATTATTGGCATATAGAATTCAACTAAGAAAAAGTTTTGAAACTGACTTCTGAGTTTTGTATAAAGGGACTAGAGATTATTATTAGTTATTTCATTTGTTCCTTTTGCTAATAGCTTTTTATTACCTTTTAAGGTCTGCAGTAGTTGAAGAAGAAACCACATCCCGCCGTTCTAGAAGGCATGCAGATGAGGATGAAGCACCTGCAGAGGTAATATAAATTCTCTTACATGATCTTTATTTCTGTCCCAATGTTATTATATAATAGTTGTTAATCTTAAAATTGATTTTAGTTATCATCAATTTGTTGCACTTTTCATTTAGTATAACTATGTTACCATTGTTTTAAACTATTTTCATAAATACAGTATATACTTATTTTGTAAGATCAAAATTCTATTTTAATGTACAGTGATGCAGTATTTGGGGATTATTTCTTAACAATTTACATGTTATATATTTTGTTGATATGTATTTAACATATAACTGTACATTAAGATAAAATTTATTTTCTCAAAATAATTATGTATTGATAATCTTTTATAATAAACTTTCCTGTTTATCAAGCATCATTGATTTTATAATTTTTAACTTTACCTATTATATAGATATTAGCTATATTTAGTTAAGCTATTTTTGCTCTCAGGTTTACTTAAAATCTTTGCAATGTTTTGCATTTAATAAAACTGACTGATAAATGCACATACCATTTGGAATATTAAAATGTGATTGTTATTCAAGAAAAATAAATGCAAAATATCTGTAAAATTAATATAAAATCAATGATGTGGCTTGATTTTCATATAAAAATTGAGTCTTCTAATAATACTACACTGATCTAGCTAATTTTCTCTATACTGTTTAAATCAGAGGTTTCAAAACTTTACTATTATTATAATATTAAATTAATATTAAACTGATTTATCAAAACAGATAAATTAAGTAAATAAGAAATAATTTCTTTTATACTTTAGAAACACAACTAAATTCATTTGTATGTCTGAATTTCTTTTATCTATGCACTCGTCTTGAAATAAGTTTTTCAAATTGTCAACTTTGTGAATGTTTTATTTATTTGCATATTACTTCCAAATAATTTACTTTCTACATTGCTTAAGTTTTTATTCCCCAGTTCAAAAAATTAGATTCACAGAAAATGCTATTATTACAAATGATAATTCTTGACATTTAATTCAAAGTAATCAAGAAAAGTAAATAAAATGATTTGTTATAATTTAAGAACAGTGTTGTAATTAAGTTATTATTCTAAATTCAAACTTGAATTGCACTCTTATTCAAGATGACCTTTGGTACCTGAAATCAGTACCAGCAACATGAAAATAATGATTCATCTGGTGATCCTCTAAAAGTCATGATGAATTTATATAATGCACTTATTCTGTAAGAAATGCTGATAGTGTCCATAAAATATTGAGAAGCACAGTTTAGAAATCCCTGATTTAAATTTGATTCTGTTATTGCTTTCTTTTCATTAACACATTTATAGCTTCTTTTTCAAGGTTACAAGTTTATGTGAGATGTCAGAAATAAATTAACATGTATTAAAACTGCTGAGTATGCTAGAACTAGTATATATCAGTCAGTTGGCTGCTGATGTCAACAGTCATTGTCATGTGCATAAATACTGTTTCAGGAATCGAGACGTTCTCGTAGACGGCGTGGATATGATGATGATGAAGAGGTAAAATAACAAAACCGTGTCAGTCTATTTGGTGGTGTGCTTTGCCAGCTAATTCCTATCATGTATATACTAACTCTTCATTTGTATCATGACTATGGTGCACGCTATGCTATAAAACTTTGTTCACTGCTCATGAATTGAACCGTGTATTAATCTTACAAGTATAGATATTTCCTCTTGATCTTTTATAGTGTAAGGATAAGATTAAATAGATAATCTCATGTCAAGCATTGATAAAATCATATGTTGAACTAAAGGAAAATCAAAGATCAAACTATTTTTCTCTTATTTACCATTTTGATCATTTAGCATTTCTTGCTTTCTTAATCAATATTTTGATTACTTTTGTTCAACACTGCTTGTTCTGCTTTTTGTAAGGTAGAGATTTTAGCTCATATCTCTCTTTTTCAGTACTGTTTTCATCTTTATCCATATTTCTCTGAAGGGAAATTTTGTAGTTAGTGGATTTTAATCTTTTACAATATATTTGTTAGTTTAACATTTTTATTAGGAAAGGTGATAGCTCACACCCTAAATATTTTATTCAATTTAACTCTGAATATATAGTAGATAATTGTTTGGTGTATAGTTGTGATAATTCCTACTTATAAATTCTAAGTTTTTTTTTCCTTTTGTAATCATTAAAACACAGTTCAATTCATAGTACTTGAACAATTGATGGTTCTGTGTAGTATATTGAAGATTGCTTGTGCAAAGGCTATACATACCAACATGTGTGCATATATAACTAAAACTTGAGATGTTTGGATTTTTAAAAATTTAAAGGTAAAATTGTGTGTAAACAAAAATTTTGAAAATAAGTAAACTGAAATCTAATAATTAGTTTAAATATTTGTCCTTGTAAACTGAAGTCCTCTCTCCCTTTATAAAGATATAACCAAATCTATTATTGCATGTTGATAAATGCATTATCAGAGTGAACCCAGACTTTCCACTTAATGTTCCCTTTATGATCCTTTACCAGAATAGTGTAATTAATCCTAGGTTTTAAATTTCTTCAATCTTATCTTCATTTTTCTCATTTAAATGAATTCTAAACTCTTTTTGAAACTGGACTTTATAAACTACTTAATTTTGTAAATAAATTATTGATTCTCCCTCTATCATTTTGTTCTTGATTTTATGAAATCTTGTAACAAATGGTGTTTTAGTCTTTGATTTTAATTTTTTTAGTTGAAAAAGTGAGCATTTTCTTTCCTTTTTAATCTTAGCTCTACTTGAATTAAATAAAATAACCATTAAATTGTCAAATTTACATATTAAATCAGAAGTGATAAAATAGTGTTAATTTAAAAAATTAATTTTATATGTATTAATCTTCAAATATCAAATTTTATATTTGCATCTTATCTGAAGTTTAGTAACTTAGATAAAAATTTAATAATCTATAAAACATTGACAAGATAATTTCTACTAAAAATATAAAATCAAATAACCTTTATCTTTCATTTTTTATATATATATATATATACATATATAATTAATATTGCACTTTTTTGTACAGCTCTCACTATAACTATTGTAGCAAAATGCAGTGGTTGCTTCTAGTTGGCTTTCATTGATCATCTTTTCACCTTCATTTAATTTGCCTTTCTGCTCTTATTTTCTTAATTGAATATTGCATTTGAAAGCTAAATATGGAACTTGTAGAAATTGTATCTACTTTCACTTTGAACGTTTTCTTCACTCAATATTTCCTACCATTTGTATATATAAAAACAGTTTGCTTTGTGAGAAATTAAATATATCTTATCTAAATCTTTTATTTGAAATGTATTCATTTTTTAAAACATTGCTCATTGCCAAACTTGTTCATGTAATTATTAGTATTTACAAACTTAATATTCACCATAATGTATTTCAACAAAGTACCACTTTTTTTTAAGACTAACAAGTTGCTTTATAGTATCACTATATTTCTGCTGTCTTTGAAATGATCATCTTGATGACTTCTTTTAACATATGTCATTGCCTTTCTCATTTTATTTTGACCTTTGAATTATTTCTCATATCTATCAAACTGATTCTTTTCTTCCAAGATTCATCTATTCTTTCAACTGACTTGATTTAAAGTCCTTTCTTTTTTCTTTTTTTTTAAGGGTAACTACTTGCCTCTAATCTACCTTAGTCATATGATTGATATTGATATCTTTTAGATTAAGTCTAAAAGCTTGAATATGTGTGAAATCCTGATATGTGTGCTTGCCTGAATTGTGCCCATTATATACCTATTTTGATATTACTCAAAATTCTTTTACCATTCTTTGTCATAATGTTGCTGCTGATTAAGCTTGTTGTAAAGAAGTGTTGTCAATATTGTTGAGCAAAATTTTAACATAAACCTCAGCATCAACATTTTGGTATTTTTAATGAATATTCTTTGCTCCATAGAAATTATGAATTGTCAAGTTCAATTCCAAATTAAAATTGAATGAATTATCTTTTATTATACACAATATATTTGCACTAGTATCCTTGTGTTGATTGTTAGTTACATCTTGGTCATTCTAACTTCAAGGGCTTGTATTTGGTATGCTTTTGGGAACTTTATTCAATCCAGTTTAGTTTGCATGATATGGTATCTTATATCAGTTAATTTTTCCTATTTTTTTGTTTGAACTAAAGTATGTCCCTCACCTAATCAAGGGATTGAACATGGTAACTACATACATTTAATCAGCATTTATATCCATTCAGCCATAATCAGAATTTATATCCATTCAACCATTGTCCCACAGGACATTCAGGTAGTGTAATTTTAGAGATTTTCTAAACAACTCACCTGTATGTATCAGAAGTGGGAGGACAATAGTTGGAAAACTGCCATGGTCTTGTCTACCTTACATGTTGGGAAAGATTCTGAGGATTTGTTGTCAGTAAGACAATATTACAGCTAACAAGGACCAAGCCTCCATCAGATGAGAGCATGACCAATAAGTGTATGTCTACTATTCCATGCAATTATAAGCAAAGATATAAAGACTAGACTAGCTGTAAGTAAGGTTTGAAGAGCATTGAAAACTGTAATCTATGGAGACTATGAAATCTGACATCATTGATCAGGTATGAAGGGGAAAGTGAAATGAAGTTAAAATAATAAGAAAATAATATTGTAAAAACAATACAATTAAAAGAATCTGTGCAAGTCTCTAATAGCCTCCACAATAAGTTTAGCATAGGACTGAATACTATATAGGACTCTTTGATTAGAAAAGTGCAGGCTTTGGGTTTGAAACTCCAAAGTTCTACCATCTGATTGGCTTAGCAGTTACCTAGTAGTTGTAAATTCATTTCTTGGATTCAGCAATGGAATTCGTATCTTTATAGTTCAGTAGAAAAAGGAAGAAGTATGTGTCACAAAGACAAATTAATTAGGGAAAGTTAACTGATACAAGATCTCAAATATGGACAGTGGAATGAGAACTGTTCTGTAAATTATATAAAAGGTTAGGTTTAAGACACCAAGATCACCAAACACAAGCACTTAAAGAAGATAGAAACCTGCAACATTTGGAACATTATAGCAATAACAAGTGAGAAATAAATTCTAATAAATGTTTAATAATGAATTTTTTTAAATAAACAAACTACAATTTTTCTTTCAGATTTCTCTTGCATTAAGTTAAAATTATACTATACTTTTAAAAATCCTGTACATATATATATTTAAGATGATTAGATGTAATTTTAAACTTATTTAATGAAATTTATTTTATCTGAATCTTTCAATTATATTGACTGAAAAGCACTTATTTTACTGTAAAAGGTAAGTTTTCTAAAAGTCACTTTTCCAAAGATCAATATTACTGTGAATTTATAAAATGATTAGCTTATTCAATTTGCTTTTATTTTTCTAGACAGAATTACAACAATCTCATTACTTGTTGAAAATTCTATAAAGAATGTCTTCTACTCAATTCCTGCCAATATCTTATATTCATTTTACTGGCATCCCTTTAAAGTTTCTTCACTGATGTTTCTCTGGGTATACTTGTTTTGGGGTGCATCTAAATTTCAGGCTATTTATGAAACTGCTCATTTTCTACTCAATATTTTTTTCTTTTTCAGTTTTATCAAAGCTAATTTCTACAGCTTAGATTTTTGTTTATTGAAATTGTTTTAAAGTTTTTGCTATATAAGTGTGCCATTATGAAATTGTTCATGTTTGTCCTGTTGAATAAGTTGTGTGGGTACTCAAATTTTGAATGAATCAAATGTAACCTTTCCAATTCAACTATTATTCAGAATATGGGGTGTTTTATCAATTTAAACTAAGCTGCTTTAATTTTTACCATATAATTGGATTGCATATCAAGGATAAATTATGTTGATTTGGAAAGATATACTTAGCTTTTGTTTCTGGCAAAATTTATAAAGGTTGAGAATTGTTTAAAGAAAAAAAAAGGATATTAAAGTTGTTATGGAACAGCCATTTATTGACTATCTTGATTTAATCTACAGTATGCTTCAAATTTCAAAATCTATTTTAAAGAATATCATTGTGAGCCTTTTGATATATATTAAAATCCTGCAAACAATTGTGACTGCATTACTTCTATTGCTAATCCTTCAAGTATTAAATAAATATAATAGCTCAATATACTTTTATCTCAAGAAATTGTATTTTTTTTTCTTTATGTAGTTAATTTTTCTTTTGACTAGTTGTCTTGCATTAGAAAAAGTACAAACAGAAAAGTTTCCTATATATAATATAAAGAAATATAGTCTTAAGGTGTGCTATATTTATGGGATAAAGTGCTCAATATCAGAGATAGAGCGTGTGTAAATATAAAAGTGAACATAGAAGTCAACACTTATTTATTTATATATATATATATATATATATATATATATATATATATATATTTCATTTTAGTTTTTTTATTGTTTGCTTTGTCTTGTCTGGTGATGTTTTTAATGTAGGTATTAATGTTTGTTTGTTTCTTTTTTTTTTTCTCTCTCTCTCTCGTCTACTTTTCACATCTTGTCACTAAGGCACCTGCTGAGGACACAAGTCAAGAGGTTTGTTAGAAATTGTTTGTCCATATAAGCAGATAAGATGTGCCCATATGAAAGTCTTTCAATAAGAAATGCCATTCTGTTTAAGGAATTAAAAGGTTGAACTTAATTGTTTGCAAAAAATAAACATCAATTAAATTTTTATATTTTACTTTGAAGTTTCTTGGTTTTCTTTTTTATAAATTTACATTTGGTAAATAACTTTGTTTTAGAAAAAAAAAAAATTTACAATGTATTGAAAGAATATAATTGGCACACTGGTTATATGGATTATAAAATACATTTCAGAGTGATGTGGTTACAATGCTTAAAACCTATGCCTATATTCTATATCTGCTATTTTTTGTTTTGATTTTCACCTCTGCTAAAAATTGTTCTTTTTATCTTGTAACAATCATGAATATCAAAGATTTTCTGGAAATTGTTGTATATGACAACAATTTAATTTATGAATATCCAAATTCACAGTTGTTAAAGATATAAAGTTTTACTGTTTTGTTTTGTCTTGTGCATTTTCTTATTTTTGTTTCTCTCTTTGTTTCTCTCTTTGTTTCTTGTTTATACTTCCTCTTCTTTCTTATTTTTCTTTCTTATTTTTCTTTCTTATTTTTCTTTCTTATTTTTCTTTCTTATTTTTCTTTCTTATTTTCTTTCTTATTTTTTTCTTTTCTTATTTTTTTTCTTTTTTCTTTCTTATTTTCTTTTATTTTCTTTTTCTTATTTTTTTTCTTATTTTTCTTTTTTTTCTTTCTTATTTTTCTTTCTTATTTTTTCTTTCTTTTTTCTTATTTTTTTTTCTTATTTTTTTTCTTATTTTTCTTTCTTATTTTTTTCTTTTTCTTATTTTTTTTTCTTATTTTTTTTTCTTATTTTTCTTTCTTTTTTTTTTTCTTATTTTTTTCTTTCTTATTTTTCTTTCTTATTTTTTTCTTTTTTCTTTCTTATTTTCTTTCTTATTTTTTCTTTCTTTTTTTCTTTCTTATTTTTCTTTCTTATTTTTCTTTCTTATTTTTCTTTCTTATTTTTCTTTCTTATTTTTCTTTCTTATTTTTCTTTCTTATTTTTCTTTCTTATTTTTCTTTCTTATTTTTCTTTCTTATTTTTCTTTCTTATTTTTCTTTCTTATTTTTCTTTCTTATTTTTCTTTCTTATTTTTCTTTCTACAATAATTTATCTAAACTATTGACTTGCACTACTAAATATCTTGAAAGAAATGGTTAGTTGAAATCATGTATATATAATTCTCTGGCAGGAATCGAACCTGCATCCTATGAGAACCACCATTAAGCCCGGTGTGCTATAACCATTCAGCCACAGAACTTCTGGTTAAACAAAGCTTGAATTAATGCTTTTACACACATTTTTGCCAATCTTTCTCGATTTATATCTGCTCTGTATTCATATCCTAATGCAAACAATGACAGTATATCGTAGGAAATGGATTAAATCCAACAAATATTTAATATATTTTGTGTTTATACATTATTTTTTTATGAATACACTTATTTAAGCAAATGCTCTGTTCTCTAATTAAACAGTATTAATTACATTTACTGTCCTGGAAACATTACATTTGCCAGAGAATGCATATTTTCTACAAAATTTCTCAAAAATTCAGGCCAGTAACTGTAATTAACACTGTTTAATTAAAGAACAGAATATTTGCTTAAATAAGTATATTCATAAAAAAATAATGTATAAAATATATATAATAACAATAAATTGTTAAGGATTAATTGTTTGATCAACTACTCTTCAAACTTTACAAGTATTTTTCATCATTTTTTTTTTTTAATTCATAATTGCCTCAGATTATCTGAATTTTTCTTGTTACAAATTATAGAGTTAATTAGTGAGCCTTAAATGAATTGGTCCTTCTATTATTTGTAATAATTTCTAATTTAATTTTATTTACTAATGATTTTAAAAAAAAGTACAATTAAGAGTACTAAGAAAACTAGTTTACTTTAGTATAATGTTGCAGTTTGGTTTAGATTTCTCACAATTTTAGAGCATCTCTGATGCTTCATGCTACAAAAATAACTGCAAGAATATAGCTATTTCTGTTTGTTAGCCACAGATAAGACTTGTGTGCTTAATACATCAGAACTGGTAAAGTTAAATGCTAGTGTAATAATTATGCCTTGTTACTTAGAGCAAAAAGTCAAGTGAACAGATTTGAAGAATAACAATTTGTGTAATACTCTTGTACTTTGTTTTCAACCCTTAATGTTTACATATAAATTTTGTATTTGTGGTTGTCCTTTCTGTTTCTTTCTATATAATTTTCTTTTTACCTTTTTATTTTATATAATTTTCCTTTAAATATGTTTTTTTTTCTTTCTTTACATTATAATATTTATTTAGCAAATATTTTTAAATGCTGAACTTTTTATTTAAAAGAAATTACTTTATAAATCTTGGCCATCATAGCATTTTTCTTTTGTTAGTGATTGTAAAGTTTGACAGTTGATATCCTTAAATTTCTATTATACAAATCTGATTACCAGTTTGACCCTTTTTTTCCCATTACAAATTAATTTTGACTGTTTTATATGATCTTCAGCAATAAAATAATACAACAAAGGTTCAGCATTTTAATATTAAAAATATTGCACTTCAGAATTAAGAATAAAGGAGTTATCTTTTTGTTACACAAAACTGAAATGTTTTTGCATATATGAGATTGATATTAAGATTTTAAGATAACTCTTTTATTCTGTTTTATAATTGAATTGCTTATATTTTTAAGAACTGCACAATGCTTTTTCCCTATTGCAGATCAATCTTCTACTTATCATAGATCATTAGCATGTGCTTGTCTATCTATAATTGTAATATTAGAAGAATGTTTTCTTGTTTTCCAAGCAATGCAACTTTTATAAGATCAAATAATATTGTATAAAATCAAATGCAGATTAGTGCCACTGCTTAGAAATTGCTTTACTTTACCATATAATGTTACTATAATAGAATAATTTCCTAAATTAAAATCATATTTATTATTTGATAACATTTGGTCTATACTCTCATTTTGTTTTCCTTTTGAATTCAAAAATCTATTATCAAAATATTTCTAAACTGCAGATATTTTGTAATTGATAGTAAAATTAAAGTTCTATTGCTTGGATTTTATACATTAATTCAATTTCTTTTTTAGTTTGTATATACTCTCTGCCATATCTTGTAATGCATGCTTTCAAAGTAGTTCTTTGAAAAACAGATGTTTTATATAATTGCAAAATTTCTAAATTCTTGTCTTTTTAGTTTAGTGAACTTTAACTATCAATATATTTTGAACTTTTCATTTGTTGATGATTTTGAAGTTTTCAGCATTTATTAAACATTGTTTAGACAATGATTAGGTTTCAACATTATTATTAACAGTAGCTTACACTGAAAGAGCTGAATTGCTTCAATCATCACAAAATTTAGTTACTAATTGTATCCAATAAACAAAATGTACTCTTTGACTAAAACATTTTCAGGGCCCATCTTAAATTAAGAATTTGAAGAACATGAAAAAAAATTACTTGAAAAATAAAATTAGTATTAAAAACATCATTGCCTTTAAATTTATGCAATTTGTATTCAAAAAATACTGGTTATAAGTCATATTTTGGGCTCAGTTTTTTCACTATTTTTTTTTTTTTTTTTTTTTTTCAAACCTTTCTTGTCTTTATTAGTTCCTGTAATGGCATAAGGCAGCTTAATCTTCTCCTGCCAATGTTGCCATAACAACTACTATTTGAAAATTCTTTTCCCCATTTCTGCTACCAACACCCTACTTGCCTATCCAATTGCCCTTTACTGGAATGTTGTACTTGAGCATTCTGCCCACACAATATTGGAGTCTTTCAGAATAAAGCTTCAAATTTTCCATATTTCATTCAACTTTTGGACTCCATTGCCAGTTTTTGCTGGAAAGGCATCAATAAATGATATAGGCATTACTTGTCATTCTGTAGGGTTTTTAAAGCAGTATTTCAATGTTCTTTTTTGCAATCTAGTTAAGTATTAATTCATATTTTTATTCTGATTGCAGACAAATAAAGATTACATGCTTATCAAAGAAATATGGTTTTCATTTATTTTTTAATGGTTTTGTGAACTAAAGATTTTCTCTTCTGGTTTAACAGGATACTGCTGCAGCAGCTGCTGCTGAGGAGGCTCGTAGGCAGCAGGAAGCTGAGGTTTGTCCTAGTGTGATGTTGGCCTTGCAGTGAATCAAAAATTAAAATATTCTCTAGTATTTTCTATTGACCAGTAAAACTTTCTAATCTACTACTTTCTATTTGAATTATTAAAATGATTTTAAAAGGATAGAAAAAGAATTGTTGGAAAATTGATTAAATTTTAGACTATGGTTAGCTCAGCCAGTTTTTGTTTAATGAATATATCCTTTAAAAGTTTTTTAAATTGCAGAATTTTGTATATCAAAGGGTTGCAGTCATTAAAATGTACTTTTCCTTAATGTAAGATTTTTGCAGTATTTTTACTGATTTAAACTGTACAAGTGATGTACATATTTCAACTAGTGTTTTTATAAAGAAATACATATTAAATAATTTTATATATGTTGTGTAAGAATAATTGCTATATTTTATCAGTTTTATATATTATTTGTCTATTTAAGCCTCAAATAACTAAAATTAAAATTGCTGCTCTTTCCAGTTTCAATTCTATTTGCTGGTCAGTAGAATCTATAGTTTTGCTTTGTTTCCTAAATCTATAAACTGCAGCAGACACTTAAATAAGTATTTTTATTTTTATTTTTTTTTTTCAGCTGTTATACCTTGCAATTTAAGAAAATATATAACTTTTATTTTTTTATTTATTTTTTTTTTTCCAAAATGATGCCAGAGTTTTAAACAAATGCTCTTTTTTCTGATAATTAGTTACTTGCCTTCAAATTCCTATTATTTCTCTGACATTTTGTCATCATATTTGAATTTTTATAATTGTTACTACTCTTAACTATTGTTTTCATCACTGTCTTTAATATGGAAAGATATTTTTATGAAGAATTTTATTGAACTTAATGAGAAATCCAAAGCAAGCAAAGTGAAACTATTTGAGCAACAAGAATACAAAAGGAGATTTTAATGTTTTTAATAAATTAAGAAAATAACATTGTATGTTTTCATTTACAAAATATTTAATATTGAATAAATCTTGATAAGGTATTTGGTACTGTTGTAATGAATTTGGCCTTAACTTGTTATAAGAACGTTCTTTATTAGCTTAATTTCCTATCTGCTTGCAGTTTAATTACTTTAATGTGTGGAAATTCCATCACTGCGTGTCTATTTTTTCACTTCTTTCCTTTCCTTTCCAGCAGATTTCCTCGAGGATTTCCATCCTTGATATCTACTCACTATACTTTCCTTTGCATGGATTTACCTGATCTATTCTTACTTCTCATCTTTCTCCAGTTCTTTACATATTCTTATTTTTCATAGTCTTCCCCACTTTTTCTTCTTTTTAATCCTTGACTATTGCTTTAATCATACCTTTCCCTACACAGGTCTTTCTCTGATTCACCTTCTGTCTTCAGCTTTGTACCTTTTCCAGAACTTTCATTTTTACCTCTCTTTCTGCAGATTAAATTCTTCCAGATAGAAACCATATATATATATATATATATATATATATATGATGCAGAAAATACATTTTCTACTGTTTTACTAAAAACTCTTTTTCTTATATATAAGATGCTGAAAAGTTTTCTATTCAATCCACTTCTTAAAATCCAAACTTTTTTTTTTCTTAAGGCTTCTTGATTGTGCTGAGTATTCTTCAGCTACTCATTGTATTTAAAATTTTACAATATAAGTTTTAATATTAATTTCTTATCATATTTCTATATTATCTTGTTTTTAACCTATAATCATGTTAATGCATTAAAAATATGAGATAAAAAGATACATATTTTTTTCCTTAAGGATTCTTAGGAATAGATTAGTAATTTTAGTTGCAGGCTTATGTTATACCAGTTTTTCTGTAGTAAAAGAAATGTTGTATTTTTCTTGTCAGGAGGCTGCCCGTCAAGCTGCTGAGGAGGAGAGAAGACAACAAGAGGCCGAGGTTAGTTTCCATTTCACCATATTTCTTTAAAAAAAAAAAAAAAATGATATTGAGCCTGTTGACATTATTGAGCTTAACTGTTCAGAATATCTCTCTTGAGAGAATGTTTTCTACTATTGATCAACAATTGACTCTACTGAAGATATTTTTCTGGGCCAAAGTAAATACATTTATTATCAAAAAAATATAAATTACTGTAAAAGTTTAAAAAAAATTTTTTTTTTTGCAAAATCTCTACTCATAAAGTTATAGCATCATTATTCAATCATAAAAATATTTTCAGTGACTTTCAAAATTCTGCAAACATTCAGGTAAAATTTATTGTCTATTATTCAAGAAAATTTTGATTCCATGAATTCTTTGCCAAAGTTTTTTTTTTTTTTTTTCAAAAATGTCTTAGAAGTGTTTACCAAACAAAGAGTCTTACATGAAAAGAAATAAGTCAAAAGTTGATGCATCTGGATAATATGTTACATGTTGGAGAATTTCTTATCACAGCTCCACAATTGTTAGACTGTTTGCAGCATGATGTAAGAAAATGAGAAAAAATATTTTTTCTAATACATCATTTAGACAAACCAATTGATTACTACAGCAACAATTTATTCAAATTTCAGAAATTTGTAATAAAGAATTCTCTTTGAACTTCCAAGTAGAGGATGTTTAGTTGGTGATGTTAAAGGCTGTCCAGGATTTTTTCTTCATTTTGGATTCTAATAAACCCATTTTTCACTGCCAGTGTCTATCTTGTCCAAAAATTCAAGCTAAAAGAGAAAGTTTTCCAGAAGTTCATAGTGGATGCTATTTCCCTAACTTCTGACTCTTTCCCAAGTTTTGTTAACTAATTATATAATAAAAATCTGTGTACTCTTTCTAGGCAAATTTTTAAGAAAATATTTTCTAAATGTCATATATATATGATCTTTTACAATCAAGCTAAGGTTATATATATATATATATATATATATATATATATATATATATATATATATTATTAAATATAATAAATTTCACTAATAGTTAATACTAAACAACATAAGCTAAAATCAAGATTTCTTAATTGATGAAAGGAATAATTCATTGATTATTATTTTGAATAAATAAAAATTGGAATCCCCACCACCACTCTAAAAAAAAATACTGTCAAATATTTGAAAATATATATCTATAATTTCAATTTTCAAATTAAGATTTTTCAGATTCTGGCAAATATTTGATAATTATTTTTAAAAGATTTTGTACCATTTTAAGGAAAATTATCTAAAGTCTGAAGAAATTCTTTTAAATATACTAAAAGTAATCTATTATTTTCACTTCAATTTCAAAGAATCAACTGTTTCATTTTTTTTTTTTTCATTAAGTGTTATATTTGTCATACTTGTAAAACATTGATTCATGAGATGAGTAATTATTTTCTCAACTGACAGATTAAGAAAAAAAAAAAACTTTACCAACTCTGACTTTTTTTTTTTTTTTTTTTTTCAAGCCACCTGCTAGTATTTTAAAATAAATTTTATTTTTATTTTCTAATAAATTGAGTATTAATAGGTTTTAATAGCATATACAAGAATTTTGTGTGTGAGAGAAATGAAAATTGTTTAATGAAAATATTTAGTATAAAAAGAACATTTATTCTAAATTTAGGCAGGTTGGAATGCCACTAAAAATCTAAATATTGCCTCATTTATTTCCTGCATATTACTAGAAAAAAAGAAAAACGACCATAAAATTCTAAATAGAGCTTTTTTGCTAAGTTACAAAATGCATTAAACTATTTGAATCTTGAATTGGATGTTAAGCCATTGAGTTACCGTTGACTAAATTTATAATATATTCTAAATTTTTGTCTATTAGATTTATTTTTTTTTCATCTACAAACATTTTTAACATTGACAATTATTTTTACACTATTCAAAATTTTGCTTGTCTACTGCAAAAAAGTGTGTGTGTGTGGAGGGGAGAAACATTCTTAATATTTAATGTAAGCTATTATCATCTGAAACTACCGTAAATTTTGGAATTTAACAAGATGAAGAATACTTTGTGCAGTAAAACTACTTTTCCTCTATCTTAGGAACGACGAAGGAGAGAGGAAGAAGAACGAGAAAAACGTGAAGCCGAGGAGGCTCTCCGGAAAATAGAGGACGAGAAACGGGCTGCTGAGGAAGCTGAGAAAAGGAAAATTGAAGAAGAAAAGCAGAAAGCAGAAGAGGCAGAGCGAAAAAAGAGAGAAGCAGAAGAAAGACGCAAACGTGTAAGTTTTCCCTTTAAAATTTTTCTTGAATTTGTGGAAACCTTAAAATCACATAGATTTGCATGATTATTATTAAAAATAGAAATAGTTTAGAATGTAATTTTCTTAACCTTTTACACTGACAAGAATTTAATATTTCTTGACAATTAAGTGCTTGAGGTTACATATGAAATGAAAAATAAATAAATTAGATACTGTGTTAATATGAGCAGAACAAATGTTTTGCTTAAAATATATAAATATACCTTGTATATTCGTAAATAACAGTATTTCTTGAAGGCAATAATGGTATTTCATTAATAATAATTACTGAATATTTTATGAAGTCACTTAAATTTATACTCATCTTAAATTTTAATGTGTTAACAAATTTATTATTACCTTTGTCAGTTTGATACGAAACTCTTATTTGTGTATATGAACAAGCAGAATATGAAAGTATTTCTTTTAATTAGTTTATTTGTAATTTAAAGTTAATTAATATTTGTCTCTCTCTTATGAATACTTCTGTAGAGAATGTTCAATATCATCTTTAATAGAGCTTTCCAAAAATAAAGGTTCCTCACTTTGTGAATTAATTCTTGCAATGAAACTGTTTAAATTGGCTAGAGTGTTCTGTCTTGAAGGGATATTTGTAATCTGTCTGAACCCTTGTTACTGTGATTTTACAAATTTACTCTTATAAAATTGAATCATAAATGCAAAGAGAACAATTCAAAAGTACAGGATCAAGAAGAGAATAACAATGGTGGTTGCAATCATTAAGCTCCTGCTGGAAATGAAGACAACATGGAGCAGGCTTCTGGTGGTATTAATGATAAGAATGTGAATGATAATTTAGTTCAAGTTAAAGAATTGGAAGGAAATTAAAAAAAAAATTGTTGAAGGAAAATAATGACAGCTGGATAACATTTTTTAAAGAATAAACTGGTGACTATTTTTCTGGCAGGATACTGAGTAGTGCTGGTAAAGCTACTGACAAATATAAACACTTATAATGTGAAATGTGATTCTGCTATCTGTACTAGTTAGTTTCATTTTAGTAAATTTACCAAAGTGAAAGAAATGAGAAAGAAATACCAATGTTTAACACAGATGAAATTATAGCTACAAGGAAAATTAATTTAAAAACTGAATTGATAATGTGGAAAATCCAGTTTAGAATCTATAAAATGGATTGTCTGAAGATAGAAAAAATGATAATTTATATCAAAGTTTTTTATATGAAGAATTATCATTATTATATACCTTTTACTTTTGGATAAGTATACTCCTCTTCATTGTTATGCATACATTTCAGCCATTCTATCCTTTGGCTTTCTTTGTGTCTGTTGCCATGCTTGGTAACCTCCTCAGAATTTTTAAACAAAGACTTTATTCAATCAACTGGAGGTACATTGTTCTCATTCTGCATTCCATGCTTAAACGAAATAACTAATATCAGTTAAGAGTCACCAGTGTTACTCATCTTCATTAATTCTATCCTATGCACTTGGAGTCAGAATACAATGGAAAGAGCAGCTGCCCTCACAAGTAAGGGTAGAGGAATATCCAAAGGTTGTAGTTTGGGGAGAGACATTGAAACTAGACATGGCTGATCATGCATGGAGGTGATCATTAACCTCTTGTTGAATGAAGGCAGACAACAATGAAGGATTAGGCTTTGATAATCTCAGTAGGCCTAACATGAAGATGAATACCATCTGAGAGCCTTTGATTAAGAAAGTAAAGACACTTCTGAAAATTCTACTGAATACAGACATTAGCTTTAAGGCTTTGAAATTACATAGCTAGATTGTCCAAGAAACACATGGCCAAATGAATAAAAACATTGCTTAAAACATTTCCTGGCAATTGTGTGTTCAGTACATGGGTTTTGTAGTATACTCCCTGCATCCAATTCAGTAGAAGCAACACAAAAGGTGCATAAGAATGAGTATTAAGTGAGATGAAATGTTCTCAAGTATAGAAAGGGGAACAACAACAATCTATAAGGGTTCAGTTCAAAATGATGACAAGGTTACCAAGTATAATGGCAGACATCAGAAGAAGGCCAAAGAAGTAATTTTCTAAGCGTAGCTTAGACGTGGCACAAGGCCAAAAGTATGGGGGCACTTAGTGAGAATCAAACTCAATTTTGTCGTAACTAATCTAGCGAAACAAGCTTGCTAACCATTACACCACACTGAGGTGCCCAAAGAAAGCCAAAGAGTACAAGTTAAGACTAGTATGTGAGTATATTAGTCTGAAAGTAATGACATATAATAGTGAAAGATGGTGTAATAATGACAAAAACCCTGTCTTATAACAATAGGCGAAAGATAGGTGAAAATAGTAATGTAACAATAGGTGAAAGATACACCCAATGTCTGCAAATATTTTCCAAGAGTCAAGCTATATGATACATTCTTTGGTTTCTAACTTTGGGTATGTTATACTCTAGCTGTAAAAGCTGCATATTTGCAAAGTTGGACAAGAAATTTACCTCAGAAATCATAATTTTTTTTAAAGGAATATGTATTATGTGATACAATTAGAGCATGGTATATAAATCAAAAATGAATTAATATCTCTTTCTGTTAAAATGCATTTTTGATACAATTTCCTATTTTCGCTCTACAATAATGGTAAATTTCAGGGAATAATTCTTATTTATGTGAATGATTTTATTTGGGCTAATACCAGTGTTAATGATAAGTGGAGAAGCATCATCTTCATTGGAAGCCTGCATCAACATCTTTTAAATGTGTGAGGCTTATCATTTCTACAAATTTGACATTGGGTAAACTAAAAAATGTATCATCTCTGTCATATATTGTGATAAGTTACCAATGAGCTCTTCAGAAAAACAAGCAAATTGTCAGAATCAGAAGAAAAACTACAGGTTGTGAATTGGGCAACTAAATCAGACATTACCTTTTGGCAATTGGAATCTGAATGCTTCCTACAACAGTGACTAAAGAGGATCTGTTAAAAAAAAATGATTAATCCATAGAAATAGTAATCCACGATGGTATAAAGTTTTGTTTTGTTTTTTGTTGAAGGTTTTATGGAATCATTGAGTTCTTTGAAAAGAAAATGTGGAAGATAAAAGGTTGATAATAGATTTTACTGTAATTAAAGATATGCAAGACTAGAATGTGCATAGCAGGGACAACTATATCTCAACGTATTACTGATTGCTTAACCAAAAGAGGGATATCCACAGAAAAATTAAGAGGCTGTCAATGAGAATAAAATCTTCAAAACTAGACATTGATGTCTTTCCCAGCTCATCTGTGCTTTTACCAACCCATCCTGTGAATGATACTCCTGAAGTATCTCAAAAAGGAATTACTGAGGGGAAACAATCATTTTTGTTACTAAACCTATGTATGTATGGGATTCCCGCTTAAAATATAGCTTTGTGCTATATATCGTTCTAGTGGGGGTGCAAAGGCAAAAATTTTTGTAATCTAAGTGGTGAATCTATTCAACTGTGATTCTACAAATTCACTCTAGTAAAATTAAACTTAGTTAAAGTTTCAAATTAGTAGTAAATACTCAAGAAATAATAAATTGATCATGTTTGAACAAGACTATCATGTGTGTTCAAATTATATCATCTTCATGAAATATTTTATAATTTGTATATGTTAATGAATATCAAAGTGTGTGTAAATTTTACCTGAAGTAAATTAGTTTCTTGATAAAGGTAAAGATTATCTTCTTTGTTGTTAATCTGTCTTCTATCAATGATATTCATCTACTAGAAGAGATTCTCTTATTTTTTCTCAATATTTTAATCTTGTACTAATGTACCTTATGTAGAATATGATTTATAAAAATGAAAACCAATTTTTCTTGGTCAGTTGTTTCCATCTTGCTAAATTTTGTAAGAACTAATACTTATCTAACATTTGAGTTCAAAGTTATTGTGTTGTTATTATGGCTTATGCTTAAATAAGGATATGCTCATTCTGCATCTTGGTTCTCTATGGGATTATAATCACAACTATTTACTTGAGGTCTTGTAGTTAGCTAGGTAAATATTATTCTTGTTATATTTCTGCTATAGAATTACAGGCTTATTTATTTAGAAAGGTGGTCTTTAAGATAGGCAAGTGTGACATCTTTCTAAAAATATTAAGTTGAAATTGATCTGATCCTTGAGACGAAGTTGTTTTGTGCTCAAACATTCACACCCACACTCAGTTTAGTATCTTCTGTCTGATAGGTTGCAAGTACCAGTTGTCAAAATTTGCTATCATTAACATCATTTTGCCAAGGCTGCTTTCTTGTTGTTTTTAAGTAGGGGTTATGTTGTTTGTTTACTCATAATATAATTCACTGTTATTGAATCATCTTGTTCCTGTTTTTTTTTTGTTTTTTTTTTTTTTTTTTAAAAATATTAAAATATTTAATAATGAAGCAATGTCTTTTATTATTAACTATTCTGAAAACTTTTTTAACCTATTCATAATTATTTATCTTTCAAATTAAATGATTAAGAAATGTTTACATCTACTTTTCTTGATATTATAGAGTAATTTTAATTCTCTCATTATGTTCTGCTAACTAGTTTTTGTTTCTTACCATCAGCTGCAGTACATTTGTTAATAGTGAGTGGTTAAATTGGTGTGGGTTATATTTATGGTACGCTAAATATCCCACACAACTTTTGCTTGAAACAAACAAAAATCATACTAGCATATAAATTGCTTTACATTAAGAATTATTTTTAACCCAATGCCATAATTATTTCCAAAATTATTGTTTGCATTTTTGTAATTGAAATTTATCATATATTAAATAAAATTCTCCTTAATCTGCGATCAGTTTTAATACTATTAATTGAATAATTTATAACTTGTAAACTTAATATAAGTTTCATAATTTTTAGAATGGTGTTTATTACTTTTAGCAGAAAAAAATAGTATATTTTATTTTTTTGTTGTAGGGAGCAGGGCAATGTTTGATCCATTCTTTGATCTCTGTTCCAGCCAAGCTATTATTCTTGG